CTCTCTCTCTCTCTCTCTCTCTCTCTCTCTCTCTCTCTCTCTCTCTCTCTCTCTCTCTCTCTGAGAAACAGGATTTGACTTTATTACTGAATTCTTGTGTTCTTATTTCCCTCTTTATTCTATTTTAGCTTATATTTAAAGTGCAGTTTATAATATGACTTCTTATTCTCATTGAATATTATACGAATAATAATCATTTCCATTTCATCACTTTATTAATAATAATATATTAATTATAATTAATAATAATATAGAAAACGAATAAATCTCTGATATTTATGTTTGATAATCGTACTTTGTAACATTGTTAGTGTAACATTGTTAGTCTCTGAGAGATATAGATACAACGATCACTAATTATAATATCACTCTTAGATCAAGTTTGATTATAGGATATATATAAATATATGGACAGAAAAAGATAAGTTATTGTTAATAAAAATGATTCGAACGGTATTCAAAATTGAATGTATATATAATGTTTATATATATAAAATATAATTTAGGCTGATTTTATTTTATGTATCCACTTATTTGATTCAAATTGTACTGAGGATGACTTAAATTATTGGGATCGAAATGTTTACTTACGATTGAACAATACATGTAATTTACATTAAGAACTAGTATTGGCTCGTATTGGCAATTACTTTTTTATTCATTTAATAAATAAGTCATAAAGAAAGAGAATGAGGAAGAAGTTCAAACACTTCGAAAGCATCTTCCGAGTTTGGCGATCGAGTTTCGAGAATGAATTCCCTCGAATTGATTTTGATTCATCCATCTTTGACAGAGTGGTCCCGGGGTGACTACGGCAAGTGGGGCCGCGACACGTCGGTATTCGAGTTAATGGTCAGTCAACGTCCGGCTAAAACGTGCTCAAACGATCGATACAGGGCTACGAAATGAGATTAACAGCTTCCGCGTACGTGTGTACGCGTCTGTGCGCCCGTATTAGTTACACAGCCTCTTAATTGCCAACTTCAACACCGACGTGCGCGCGAGAAGTCGAATGACTACACCGTCGCCGTCGTCGCGCCCGTTACAGTTGCTGTCGCTGCAGTTACAGCTGCAAAGTCCCTGCGTAGCCGTTTATTAACGTTCTGCACAATCGACATTCCGCATAAGATACGGAGAAGTCGTTCGTATATAACATCCTAGGAACACATCACACAAGTCAAGAGAAAGTAATCAGTAAAAGTAACATAATGACTTTATTTTAACGTCATGACAGTATAATGATTTTTGGCTATAATATTTGATTGTTTATTAAAAATCAAAATAAAGTCATTTTAATTTTTTGTTGACTTCTGTATGTTTCTTAGAACTGTCTTAGAGAATCGGCTAATCTTAAATAGATTTCGCATGCTGCATTACTACATCTTTCACCGTGTTGTCTTACCGCCCAAGCAAAACAATGAGAAAGATGGAATACGCAAAGTACCCTTTGACACAAAGTCTGTGATTTTTGTTGCACGCGGGAGTAGAAGCTAATTTCAATAAAAAAAAGTTGACAAACATATTAAGATAAAGAAAACGAAATAAAGATTTGAAATAAAAATAAGATCAAGTGTCAAGAAGTAAAGAAATGTCGGCACTTGATCCTGCGTCTATTTCAAGTCTTTAAACACTGAAATACACACATCATGAGCACTTTTTTAGTTAACATACGATGAATTGAACGCAAAATTGATTCATGAAATGAATTAGCAATTGGTTGCATTCATTCACTGTTAATTCGTTAAGAATATAATTTAAATATCATATGCTCATAACAAGAATACCATAGTCGCAGAAAGTATTATGACCCATAATGAAAATGCTAATAGAGAAAAGAGTTTCAGGAAGTCAATCATCTAATTAATTAATTTTTCCCTAGAGCGGAAACATGAAAAGTGATAATTTTTATGTATGTATGTATATATATATATACACATGCATACACAAAATTTTCACTTTTTACGTTTCCACTTTGAGAAAAAAGCATGATTAACCCTCAGAGGGCAAAAGAAAAGGTAGAATAATAAGTTATAGAGAAAGATTAGAATAAATAGCGCACGGAAAAAAGTTATCGTTTTAATTGATATATTTTAATACTATAAAAGTCTCTATTTATGCTAATATACATATATATATATATAAATCTCATTGACTAATTATTAAATTAACGATAAGCTTTTTTGGTGCGGATTATTATCGACATAAATAATGCACTAAGAAAGACACAGACCTAAGTTACAAAATGCAAGTATCCAATGTGACTAAAAAGAAAAGTACAAAAAATTTTATAAGTAACTTGCTCTAATTTGTAATGCAATACTATCGACGATACTGCTATGTCATTCACTTATCGAAACTACTGTGTTAAGACGATTCCAGATATGTGGCTTAGGTCCATATCGTCCTCGGCATGAAATAAAGCTAAAAACTAAAAATCATTGTTACGAGAGCAATTGAATTCGTCGGAGCCGTCCAAGCAATGCGGCCGGCCATCGCAACGTCTCTTAATGTCGAGGCACACTCCATCGTTGCATCGAAACCACCCAGGTGGACATTCGGTTACTACAATAATTACCAAGTTCCATGTCGTGTATTATCGTGCATGCTATCCATACAGGAAGAATAAGGGAAAAAGAAAAAAAATGGCCTTACCACCGCAGGATTCCGTATTTGTTTCAGATAATCAGACGTGTAAGGCTAAAGAAACGTGCTGTCATCGCACGTGAAATTCATTTTATTAACACTTGAGTAATCGCGGCGATATGTATGCAAATTTTTTATCTTTTAATTGCAATCGGCGCATATTACACAAGACGGGAACACCTGTTTTGACAGATATTGATTTTGTGATGTATTCAGATTTCCCTTAGTAATCCTTTCCTCGAAAGAAAAAAAATCTCGCTTATAAATTAAATACTTCTCAATGTGTATGTATTTATTATTCAATTTAATTATTTTTAATTTACCTTCTCGAAGAGACTTCTATCGATGATATTCTCAAACCGATAAACATCATGAGTAATAAAGTCTACGACTACTTAAGTGTTAAACAAACGTGGGGATGCTCGCATGAATTATTACGCGTTTCTTATCATACACAATAGACGCTGCTTGTCACCCTTGTTAGTCGTATATTATTGTACTTTGCTGAGTACACCAAGCACTCTGCTCTAATAAGTTTCTAAGGCAAAGTATACAGTAGAATGATCAATCCTCATGTGAACCCATCGGGACATTCGCTCTTCTTGCATCGTCCAATTAATATTATCATGAGCTACTTACAGGAGCTTTTATCATGCGCTTCCAAATGTTCATACCGGTTATACTCCCAGAAAGACACGTGCGCCAACACTTACAACATAGACAAAATGCAACGTGTGACATCAAGCAGCACATGCGAGAGTTTCCTTTCGCAAGGAAAGAATGCGATACCATATGTAATAAAAAGTCATTCCATGCATACAATGACTTACAATTTCAATGGTAGGTTGTTGAGATTTTAATTTAATAATACATAAATACATCCATATATTTTTAGTTCTTAGTCAAAGGAATCAATTTAGGATACATTGAGATTGGGATGGGAATAATCATTGTACTGTTGTTATTGTATGACGAAGGGAAATAATTAATAAAAAATGAAATAATGATTAATTTTCTATTATCATGCAGGCATTAAAATTAACAGGAAATATATTATTAGATAATTCAAACTTAAATTTTATAACATGCTGCATAGATTAATATTACATCTGATTGAGTAAAAAATTTTTCTAATCGAGATACAATCATTTGAGAATTCTAGCAAATTGAAAATAAATGGAAATTATGATATTCATCTTGTAAAAGCAGGTGTGTAATAATTTTGCAGTGTGCGACTGGCTAACAAGCAAGAGCAGTGAAAAGGCCATTTTTTGTGAACGATTGTGGGCGTAAGCTGTATATCATATAATTACCACATAGATCCTCATCGGATCCGTCGCTGCACTGCGTTATTCCATCGCATCTTTGGTTTTCCGGCAAGCATTCGCCACTGGCACACTTCCATTCGGCAGGTATGCATACTCCTTTATGACACAGCATGTCAAAAGCTCCCGCAAAAAGCATTAGGGATTGGGGAATAGTAAGGAATCATGGTGTCATAATTTATTGTTACGTAAGCATGTATCATACTGTATGAAATTGATAAAAATTTCAGTAGGAACAAAAGTAGTTTAAATTAAATTCTCAAATCAAATTAAAGAAATATTTAATATATCAAAATTTTATATTAATACTTAAAAATAACTACAAATTATACATCAAATTATAATTTATAGATCATCAATATATAGTAAAATTATTATAGTATTATTTTAATATTATTATAATATTATTAACAGTTATTAAAAATTTATAAGTAATTACTAAGTCAATCATAAGAAAATAATCAATTTGAATGACACCACTGAAAATTTGTGAGAATAATGAGCTATCAGTAATGAACTTTTATTGAATTGTCGATGATAAACATTAGCAATATATAAGTAGGTATGTTGCATTTCAATAAAGAACTACAGTACTACGCAAAAAATATTTAGTAAAATTTATCTGTCAGTGTTTTCAATATACACATATTTTTACGACATTAAAAATAACAAAATATAAACTGAAGCAGAATTATTAATAAAAAAAAAATGTAATTTATCAAACTAATTTAGGACAATTTATCGAAAGAGCTTATTATAGAAAAAGAATTTTAGCGAATTACTATAAATAAACACATAAAAATGAAATAATAAATATACATATAAATTTTTTTATTTTATAAGCAAAAGAGAGATTTCCTCAGGCTTGTAAAATCAGAAACCGTTCGTCATCGTTAATATGAATACACGAAGGGAGGAAATCAGAAAACATTTGTCATCGTTAATATGAGTATGCGGAAAGGAAAGGAAGAGGATGGGCTGTGAGAACAAGATGAAATCCTTACCGCAGCCGCGCTCATCGCTGCCATCGAGGCAGTCGAAGATATTGTCGCATTTTCGTCGTAGAAGAACGCAACTGCCATCATCGCAGCGCATTTCTGTCCTCGGATCGCATTCCCTCCTGCGTTCGGGTGTCCAGCGTGGATCAGAGTCTGAGCGCACACATACACACAGGCACATTCAAGGGAAAAATCCGCAGCAAGGAAAATGAAGCATCGAGCAGCCAAAAGATCAAATTTAAAAGTACACTTGCAGTGAGATGTAATGCATTTACTTTCTATCATACCATAATGCAACTGAGAATGATGCAATAGAAAACTAAAAAGAGAATACCAGTTCGCAAGCAGAATCATAAATGTGACTAAGATGTTGCATAAGAATGCCCTGTTCATTCAGTTCCCCAAATTTTCTTCTCTTTCCCTTCGTTTTTTACTGTCCTTTCGGCAATTAGCAGACTGTTGCCGGAAAAACACTAAAGTTTGCAGGGAAAAAAAAAACATTCAAAGGAACTCCTATCCAACACCGTCATCTGCATCCGAGCGTATAAGTTTGTGCGTAATGCAACTACTTGTACATCAATGCATGGCATATATATCCGCAGGCTGTTTTGTAACGCGGCGATTTGCAGCGCGAACGGGCGAGATTACCGTCAACGATCACCGTGAATCTTCCGTACGGGGGATTCGCGGGGTAATACGTTTCCGGTGTGTTCCGACCCTTCCGCACTCAGGTGGTACGATAAAATAAAGCCGTTGTCGAGAACACGGTTTGTTGAAGAACAGAAGAAAAAAAGAAAAGAAAAAAAAAAGGAAGAGAGAGATGTACTTGTACATCTTCAATAAGTTGCCTCGGTAAGTTTAGCAGTCGCATCTCGTAAGTATAAATTTTCCCAGTGCGCGGTAAAACGAATGTTACAATGGCCGTCGGGATCTTTGGAGAAGCAACAAGAGGAGGAATCGTTTTCTCGACCACGGTCGTAACGATTGATCGTGAGAAATGCACAATGAAATACAACCATCGTCGAGTGTGTATCCGCTCAGGCAGGTAGATCCACTTGTCCCGCGTAAATAAGAGTTCCTTAAGAGGATTCGACCGAAAGCAAACATTACGGACCTCGGGCGAAGGCAGGCAACTTGTAACACTGCGAAGCTCGAAGATATTTTTCAAATCTCTCATTTTTATTGTTTAACATCTAGCGGCGAATAAAACTGCATAGAGTATCGGCATGTATAAACAACTAAAATTAAATGCGTTTACGTTTAATAGTTACGAATAAAAAATTATAATTATTATAACGAATAATAAATTATTATAACATATATATATAGAGCTATATAAAATAAAAATATTCTTTTAGACAGATAGGCGTTTGATTTTTTGACGTTTGATTTTTACAGAAATCTAATTAATCAATTTAATATTGAAAGATAATAATTATTTATTTAGAGTACTAAAAGTACTGAACCATAGTGCTTTTAATACTTAAAATAAATAATTAATTACTGTGTTTCAGTATCGGATGTCAGTATCAGATTTTCGTAAGGAAGAGCGTTTAATTTTAATGTTTTTCATATGATGAAATAATTCGTCAAATAATATAATTCATTATAATTTTTTTTGTTTCGTTTCTATGGGAAAAATCGATCGAAGGTTCCAATTATTTACAGATCTACCGAGATCGAATAGTAATAGCGGAACACGCTAGACGAGGTTGCATAAATGTATTATGAATGAAGCGATGGACACACTGAAAAAGGAGCGTACTGGTGGTAGGCGAAGTGGTGTGTGTAGTGTCGTTAGCGGACGGGGCGCAGTCCTCGTCGCTGTGATCTGGACAATCCGGATGGCCATCACACCTGTAGACATCCTCGATGCACTTGTTCCCGGTGGCGCATTTGAACTGGTTAGGCGTGCATTCCCGCTCTGTATTTTGTTTTGTTCAGCGGACATATGCGCAAAGAACACATACATTTTTACACATATATACAATCACTCCGTGTACATATACATATACATATATCGAAGCGGAAAGCGTGCCGCACACGCAGTCTCAGACTTCTTAGAGCGAGACGCTTTCGACGTTCGACGCAATTCGATCGTCGGTCTCGTTTTTTTCATCCACGAGCTTTTCTTTACTTAATTGATAACTTCTGCTGTCTGTTGTCACATCACGAAAGCGAAAAAAGCTGCTTCTGAGGCAACGAGAGTGTTATTTAGCAGTAATGATTTATGGGAGGGATTAGGGAGAATTGGAAATTATATTCGGCCTACACGCGTTTATAAAGCCGAGCTATATTTTATGTTGAATCGGATGAAATGCTCGTGAAAAATAACCTGTCGTATTGGTTAATGCGAATTACAATGTTGCGTGCAATGCGCGAAAAATGTGTCGTGACGATAAGCGTAGCTTTCCTACGCGATCGACTATAGTTTTGCGGGAGATACACGATTATTAGCTTCACGTAAATATGTGTAATGGTCTGCTATTATGAGGTCGTTTGTCAGCCGACGAACGATTCCGGTATTTAGAATTAAACTTCGCAGAAAGAATCGTGGTCTCCATACATATTCGGTGTGTATTTTCGCAGAAATTCGATAGAAAACGCGGATCAAAAGCGAATAAGAAAATATTTGAGTGAATTACATTTTATATGTTAAAATATTATATTACATTGTTACATTTAACGTAATGATTGAATTTTCCTGTAATGATAATTATGTTATCTCATAAATTAATCGTAAGATATTGTATCAAGTTTCATTATACATAAATTATAATCGAAATATTTGGCATTGTTCATATCTCTTACAGAAAAGTTTGTAGGGAATTTATAGGAATGCATCAAGGATAATATAAGTTATTTACATAATTACATAATAGATGTACTTATATACAGAGGCTAATTTAAACGCAGATTTCGCCTTCAGGCGTTTTTGTTTTACTACTCTTATTATTATTTTCATTTCTAATTTAATTATAAATAATATAGTTACCAAAACGCTTACGATAATATTTTACTTGAAAAATTTTTATATACATCAAAATTAATTATTAATTGAAATATATTTACCACTCGAATAATCGAAATCTGCGATTAACATTGTCGGCTCTGGTCACGTTAGTGTTGGATCCGAATTTAAGCTCTGTAATTAGCGTCTAACCAACACGGAACAAGTCCGTGATTAGATTCAACGAGGGAAATCATTAAGCGATTGGTTCAATGGCAAGCGTTGTTTAAGGTGCAAGCTAAGCAGGGTTTCGGAAAAAACGGTGTAAAGAAAGAGAGAAAGAATTAGGTAGAATTATAACTTTCTTGCTTTTGAGTCAGATAATGCATCATTTTAATCGTCAATGGAATGACTTGATGTCAATATAATACAGAATATAATTATGGAATAATAAAGTGTTCTCTGAATATCTCTCAAGGCATTTTTCATAATTAAGGAAAGATCATGTTAAGAATAAAAGCATTAATAAAATCGATTATTCGTTACTTTCAACGGTGTTTTGCAAAATATTTTGTTCAAACCGTCTATCAATTCGAATGCCATAACATTGCGAATAAATAATTCGCACCAATTATTTGAAATCAATTTTTGCACGTTTGTAGTTAAAATTCCATCGCGTCACTTGTTATTGTACGGGTAACGATATCGATAAAACACAACAAAAATATTATGTTTCACTTCCAAAACTTTTTTTTAAAGCTCGAATTGCATTAAATGTCAAAATAACATTGATTGATATTACGCCAGCAAGTCATCCATGCACTGTCTTCTTTTTTTTCGGTCTTCCCTCCTCCCCCCCCTCTCTCTTTTTCTCTTTCTCTTTTAATACCGAGTAGCGTGAAAGGTATACATGGTTATGTACCGCAATAAAGCTCGTCTTCTGCCCTGGGGCAGTCGTCGAATCCGTCACAGACCGAGCTCTTCGATATGCAAGAGCCATCCCCGCAGGTGAAGTCCGTGGAAGGGCACGGGGCCAAACCTACAGAGCCATCGGCAAAAAACAAAGATCCTCCTGATCAACGCTCGCATCTCGCATTCTACCGTTCAGTCGCCTCGATTTCAATGGATTTTCGAAATAAAGTTTGAAAATCAGGGGGGTAATTTGAGTTCATTAATTTATGATGATTTACATCGCGTTATTAAAATAAATGTAAAAAGTAAATTTTTTTTAATAAATTAAAATATCTTATTACTATGTGTGTACTTTCAAAAATTTGTATTAAAAAATAATTTATATTGGCGATTGAGAGATAGACGAGTTCGAGGTTGAAATACAAGCTATGAACATATAAAGAGACATTTAAAGCAGTTTTAGGCGTGGTAGAGGACTCGTAAATCTGTACATGGAAAGCATCTTTGGTAAAACGCATGATTCTGTAACCAAGAGATCTTATTATATTTTAAAGCTTGGTCTAACATTTAAAGCGTCGTGAAGAAGCCTTATGAGGGTGGTTAGAATTATTTTACTTATGAGAGACGGTAGGAATATTCCACAATATACGAAATCATCCGATTTTGAACTATAAAATAAAACGATTCGTTTGATAAACTATATACAAATATTTTTAGTAAATTTCACGCGCGGCATTTAAAGTTTTTATTTTAAGTTTTGTTGTTTCATATTCCTTTACCTTCTCCTTTACTCCAATTCGTAAACTATGTACAATGTTCGGGTACGTGTGTCGTGTGGATTGCATATTATCATTACCGGAAATGATTCTTTATGGGTGTCATTGAAATGCTTCTTTTTGCAACAGAGAAGCAAATTCTGTATTCTTGTGAAAAAAGTGAATGAGTAATGCGTGATACGACGATGATGTCAATGGAATGGATGAAATGAGATGTTCTTCCTACATCCGAGAAAAGAGGATTCACGTTTTGCCATTGCGGACTCAACTGGCGATCTAATCGCGAACATAAAAATAGTGGCAGCTGATCGTATGTCTGCAGTACGCAGAATGACTAATGCAATCATTGATAGATGCATTGATACTAATTCCTGCAATCGTTCATCGTAAATCCTCCTCAGACTGAGCGAGGAGCTTCGACGAGTCTAATAAGAACTAGATAAGATAATCGTCTAATAAGCGATAAGATAATTGTCTTCGGTCACTGCACTTTAAGGATCACCGTCTGACTATTCTCTCTCTCTCTCTCTCTCTCTCTCTCTCTCTCTCTCTCTCTCTCTCTCTCTCCGGAAATATTTTTACAAAGATGGACAACACAATGTAAACGTACACTCTTACACTGAACGGAAAGTTATTATTTATTCATAATATTTTTGTTAACACATTTGTTCCCCAAAGCTGCGTAACACATAACAAACGACGATTTTCAACACCATGACATTGATCCGAAAGCACAAAAGCAAGTCTTCTGCATTCTTTAGATAAGAACGATTTGAAGGAGGGATAAAGTGAAGTATCTATGCAAATAGCTGGAAATAAGATTCCTGAAGTTTTTTTTCGCGAAAATCTCGGTAGTTTCCCAAGGACGTTCACATATTAACCAATTTGATATCTTCAAAGCTATGTTCTGTACAGCGAAGATGACAGTTCATCCCGAAATGACGTCACGCTTGCTTGAGATTCACGTGACGCTCCATCCAAGGCGAAATATTTTTTACAGCATGAAACAAAGAGCGAAATGAAACGCCTCTCGCATTATTATTTTCTACTGGGGAATACCTTTGGCGCAGTTCTCCTCATCTGTACCGTCCAGGCAGTCTCTCTTGCCGTCGCAGACGTGCAACGCGTTTATGCACATGCTGTCGCAAGGATGCTCAAAAGGGCTGCATCCATCAAGATGCGACGTGTCGTCAACAGTATTCGAAGTGAAGTCAATCCGTTTATTATTAATTCTTTGATGCTCCTCCCACCTCTTAGAGTATATATAATCGCAGTCAGTTTCGTCATTGGCGTTAAGACAGTTTACGATACCGTCGCATACCTGGTCCTCATCGATACATATATATTTATCGCAAGCGTGTTGAGTCTCGTTGCAATTATCGATCTCGTAATCCTCTATGGTCTCCACGATACCATTGTCGATTTCATTATCCTCATCGGATATTGATTTCTCCAATCCGTCTTCTTCCTCTTCACTATTGAGGTCTAAATTCATGTTGTGCATAGTGCCTTCAGAATGCGTAGTACTTTCCCAAGACTGTGTTCCTTCGTTATTTTTATCACTTTCTTCATTCAACATAGATTTACTTATCATTACTTTCTTTTCCTTATTTTCTTCATCCTTAATCATACTATATATTGTGCTTATTTCTTCATCGCTTACATTCTTATTTTCTTTACTGAAATATTCCCAGATTAAAGTAGTGCTATCTAATGTAGATATCGAAAAATGATCGCTGACAGATGTACTATAATAGCTTGTTTCTTCTTCTATTGAATCACTTGTAATTGGCAGCGAAGTAACATCTTTTTCACATTCCGTTGATTTGTCTGTCTTTTTATTATCATCTGTCCACCAGTTAAGCCAGTTACTCTCAGTGCTAGTCGTAATTAATATTTTACATTTTTTAGAAATTTTCTCATTGGATGCCGTTGATAAATAAGATATGATGTTACTGGTAACGAGATCTATGTTCGTTTCTTCCGATTGAAATTCGTTGTCAATGCTGTCTTCTTTGGGATGTTTTGAGATGGACTCATCAGCGTTAGAGGATTCTATTTTAAAAGATTCCGTTGTAATTTCATCAGTGAGGTACCAGTCATTTCCACCAGTGCTCGTATTACGATTATCATCAGTTTCGTTGTACTCTAGATCATTAGGGGACAACGTCTTCACCCGCTCTGAACTATAATCGTTGCCATAATCGACGCTCGTCGGCTCGTCGACTTTCCAACCAACGGATGATGTCGGTTTCCTCTTACGTTTCGCATGATTCTTCCTCCTTTTCTTGGGCCTGTTCTTACGACCATTATGACGACTTTTGTGCTTGCGTTTGCTGTGTCTTCCAATGGATGTTTTCTCTCTGGGTTTGTTTGCATCCCGCGTGACGATCTCGGGAACCCTCGTTGTCGTAAAATTGAACAGCACAACGTCAAAATCATCCTCTAATTTTTCTTTCAAAATCTCTCTGGATTCATGTAATTCCTTCGATATCGTATTTGTATTCTCTACAGGTATTGATTCCATCTCATTTGAATTTATTAATCCGGAATCGATCTTCTCGTTACTTTGTATCAAGTTTTCGTTGCAACATTTTTCGAAAGAAATATCTGATTGTTTATGCGTTTTATTATACTTTTCATTACTTCGATTTTGCTGAATCGCGTTATGATTTGAAATTGAAAGATTTGATATCATATCGATATTGTCAACGTTAATTGTTGGAAAATACCGACGACGTATTTCAGCCTTTGGCGATTTAAGTTCATATAGTAACTTTTCTGTCTTTATTGAAGAATAATCATTTTTGTTCGGTTTTGCTGTTGCGGACATTTCTTCTAAAACAGATGAAGCTGCTTTTTGTCTTTTATATTTCATATTCGTCATGTTATATTCTTCAATTTTAGTCGTGTTTAAAGTCACAGGAGCTGTTCTTTTAGATGGCGTGACGCGATGTTTTAAGTATTTATTGTAATAATTTGAAACCTTACTGTCTTTTCTTACCTCGTATCCAAAAAAATTTTCTTTATTATTCGGATTGTTATTCTTTGTTTCAATATAATTTTCTCGTAAATTTGGTTGACCGTGAGTGTTATTGAATACATCAGAATAAATAAATCCAGTTACATTTTCCAGCATATTCCTCTTTTCATTCTGCCAAGCCTTAGTTATTTCATGCTTATTAATATTTTTTGATGTCGTTGAAGTTCGTGTATCAACTGCGAATTCTGTCGACACTTTCATTGTAGATGAAGTTAAATTCCTCAAATATTTATCGTAATATTTTTGGTAAGCCGAATTGTGCTTTCTGCGTTGATTTTTTCTAAGAATCTTATTGTTGCCATGTACATCTGTCGTACTAAAATTCCGATTAATATTAGCATCATTTGTTATTGTCGTTATTTTAGAAGTTGTATAAATTGGCTTAATTGGAACTTCAGTTGAATCACTCTGACGACATACTATGTGCTTAGTTTTAATAAACTTGCAGATCAAATTATCAATCCGTTGAGTAATAGTATCAGTTGATTTTTTTTTAATCATTAAAGAATTTTGCGTGTTTATTTCTTCATAAATATTTTTCGCAGCTTCTACAGTGATGTTTTTAGAGCGATGTATCGCTTTAGTGTTGTCAATATTATTTTTATTAGACGTATTATTTTCCAATTTCATTGGTGTTCTCTTAATTTTATCGCTATTTTGATATTCCATATCTATTTTCGAAGAGATTTCGATAACGGTTTTGATGTTCGAATTTTTTAATTTGGAAATATTCTTTTCTGTAACATATCTGCTCTTTTTATTGGGTCTAAGAATCATAATTGTTGCGTCTACGTTGAATGTATTGGATTGTTTCGGTGCGCAATCAGGATTGTTTTCACTTATCATTTTTCGTGTTTTATCGCGATTATTGATAGATTGTAAACCAAAGTTTTTCAGTGAAATATTTTTTTGTTGAAATAGTTGCAAAGATCTCACGAGATTATCTGACAGGTTGAAAGGTTTTGGAATTCGAGACTCGTTGCTTGATCGCTTTAAGGTTTGGTTAACAGTTGGATGATAAATTTCGGCATTACTGCAATTCGCATCAAGATTATGAAATCGATTAAATTTTACGTATTGCGAGGACGAGTTATTATCTTTCGATTTAGATGTAATTTGGATCAAATATGTCGAGGGTTTCTGCAGCATGGAGTTTGGAATTCTTCGTTGTTGAGTTTCTTCCGGAAACGCTTCCAGGATCGGTTTATTGATCGTCACGGCTGGTTTGATAGTGAGTCGATCGGCGTTTTCCGTCGTCACGGGTTGTATATTCATATTCCTTCGGCGTTCAGCGAGTTTCCTTCCATAGGAAATCGCGGTCGACTTCCGTTCGATCACGAACTTTCCGGTATTTCGCCACGGATACCTCTCTACGGGCGGCGCATGATTTCGCGATAAGTAAAATTAAAAAGGGATTACGGCAGAAAAAGGCGAATATAATGACGAAAATATCACGCGGAATGCTTGGAAGCTATATTTGAAAGTTAGTACGATGGAAGACGAGTTGGTTGAATTCGGTTGCAGTATTAGACTTTCTATTACCTATACTGCATACTAAATTACAATAATATAAAAATACTAATAAAATTGAATAACTTTTTGTTATAAAAATAGAAATAAAAATTTTTAACTATTTTAAAAAACTACTCAATCCTTGGAAATATATATGTATTACATATACATATATATAAGCAGATTCTTTTTGTCTCAAAGCGCCTCAATCTCAATTAATTCTATAAATTCTAATAATAATATTTGAAATACAATTCCAAGTTCTAGTTATATTTGAAAGTCAGCACAATCGATGAAAGGCAAGTTGATTCTGTTGGTTTCAATATAGACTTTCTATTACTTGCTGCATAGCGAATTACAATAATATGAAAGTACTAGTAAAATTGGAGGTAACTTTTTACTACAAATCTATTTTTAAAAAGCTAATCAATCCTTATATAGAAACAAATACTTTCTCTCAAAATCTCAATTTCAACCGATTCCACAATTTGAATAACTAAAAAAATCTGTATTATGACAAGCGTCATCCCGTGTACATTGTCCAATACAGTTCGCGACATTATGAATGTATTTATTGAATGACTTGTCTCGTGCACGCGCGCAAGTGTGATGTAACGTGTATATGTGTTTCAGTATTGTGTGTAGAAGAAAGAACGTGTAGGTAAGTGTGGTGTGGCATAATTACCGCAGTCCCTCTCATCAGAGCCATCAGAGCACTCGTTCACCCCGTTGCACTGCAACACGTAGTTGATGCAGCTGCCGTCCGTGCAGCGAAACTCGGTGTCTCCGCAACCTGCTCCATACACCATACACTCATGCGCATTTAAAGATTGCATCGCCTCGCTGACGCGCGTCAGCCCCCGTCCTCAAGTTGTTCCCATCCCTCCAGGATCACTCATGATCCACCAGCAAAGCCGCGCGATCGCGGTTCCAAGCAAGCCCTTCGACACTCCGAATCTTCCGTCCAAAATGCGCGTTAACAGAATAAACCGGTCGTAATGCTAAATAATTTCGCCTAGCGGCGGCATATTTATGATCACGCGGTGCAAGTGACACCGTGGATCAGAGAGTACGATTTGCATATAGCGTTATACTATCTGGACGGTAGAAGCGGACGCACCTTTACCTGGTGTGAGATGCTTCGAGCTGTGCTGCTTTTGCTGAGGTTAGTATATGAACGAAGGAAGTATACAGGGAATATACAAGAGCGAAGGACAGCAATCTGCATTCTCAATCAAGAAGATAAGTCAATTGCAACAGGATGACGTGGACTATTGGATTATCTTTACGCGATTAATTTATCTTCGATCAGCAGCGAGGATTGATGTCTTCGCTCTTCACGCGTGTTGGTTGCAGGAATGTCGGATGCGGTTCGCTTAAAAGTCGATTAATTAAAGCGAGTTTAGGTAACGTCGTAACGAAACGGTCTGAGTACATCGGGAATGCCTGAAAGTTCACCGCCTTCTTCACACACGACCGGTCGTGGACGCTCCGGTTTAGATTGCAACGAAACCTGGATTAGATGAGGTAATGGTGCAACGACATTGGCTAAACTATTTCAGGAAAAGAGGTGTTATTTTCGGCGTTGCGCGCTGGGGGCATAAAGTTCGGTCAGCGTGGAAAATCGTAAATCGAAAGTCACGTGGAGCGTGCCGGAGAAAATTAAGTTTACGTTTATTCACGTTATAGCGCGCAATGGTGTATCCAACGCCGGACCTTCGTAACCGCTCGTCAGCGTCTAATTATGTGCAAGCGTAAATGCTTTTCTGCTCGCGTACTCGTGGTTCGCTATTGTAATAAAGAGACAAATGTTTTCATCCGCGACGAAACTGATTAAAAAATTAATGATACTTAAAATTCGGATGATAATATATGTGTATACAAATCGCAATCTTTGCGACGTTATTTCCATAATGTTAAGCACGTGTTTGAATGAGATCACTGCTAGGTTTACTCGCGAGACTTATCAAAGTGCCTGCAATCTTGTTGTTAAACTTCGCAGGCCCGTTTGAGGCTCGTTTAAGCTCAGGCGCCCCTCTCGATCGCTCGTGAATAATCGCGTCGGGTAACCGACACTTGGCAAAGAGCATCGGTGCAGGCTTATCGCGGCTTATTGCTGGAACCGTTGTGGGAGTTATCGTTGCGCGTGCAAAAGTGATTATTGACCTCACGATTAGAACATGCAACAACGTAGGATTTACGTTGTCGATGAGTAAAGACGATACAATTAGAGACGTCAGAAGACAGAAATAACGGAGTTGTATAAGACAGACTCCGTTGAAATCTGTATTGTTAAAAAAATCTCATTGATATATTCTGCTCTCGCGCTCTCAAGATGTAAGAATAAATTGATCGAATAAATACATGTTTCAAAGAGGGAAGGAAAACAAATTAGCTTACCGCATTGATTCTCATCTTCGCCATTACGGCAATCGGCGATTCCGTTACAACGCTTGTCGATATTTAAACAGATGCCATCCAGACAACGGAATTGATCTCCACTACAGGTGGTCACTGAAAACGATAATATAAAGAAAAATGAAAAATTTATTAAATATAATAATTTATCAACAAGATCATATTTAAACATATAATATTTTTAATTACGAAATAATAATTACTCGAAAGCTGAGCGATAAAATTATTCACTCTTTTTCATTAATCGAGATTTTTTCCAATTTAAAACTAATAAACTATACAATAAGAAATAAATATAATTTAAAAATATGATAAAAATGTAATTAATAAAATATAATCAATAAAAATATAATTAACTATAAAATATAATTTTAAAAAACTATTTGTAACTTAAATCTATTTTAACCCGTTGAGAGAGAACATAAACTAACAATAATATTATATCAATATATAATTTTCTATTCAACAATGTCACTATTATATACAATATTTGTTATATTACATTTATATTATTGTTGAGTTGGAAATTATAATATTGATATAATATGTGATTATATTTCATGGGTAAACAGCTATAAAATATATTAAAAAATTCAATAAACAAAATATCGATAAAAAGAAAAAAATAATATAAACAAACCGTTGCAATTATATTCGTCAGAATGATCGAGACAATCGTTTCGTCCATCACATCTTGCATTTTTGCTGACACATGAACCGCTGGCGCACTCGAATTCGTCCGCTCGACATCGTGCTATTTGAAAGAGAAAAAAAAATGTGCTATTTGATAGAAAAAAAATAAAAATGTGTATAAATAAAATAAGGGAGAGAAAAAAAGAGGTAGGATGGTGGATAAACCGAAAAAAATACGCAAAACAAATGTCCTCATTGGCGATATGATAGCACTTTCACACAACGATACCTTGATTTAGTTAAAAGTTTTTATTCTCTGTCTGTACAAAGTAACTGAAGAGCTGTCGACTCGAGTTTTATTGTCGCAATTTGAACGAGTTACTGAAGTATATTCAATTTACGCGATATCAATAATCAATTGAATCCATGCCACGCTCGGAAATATTCGATAGCCCGCTTTAGTTAATTAAAAATGGCAACTATTGCAGAAATCCACTTGACCTATAGTAAATATAGATTGTAGTGTCGCGTTACTTTTATGCTTGGAATTCGTGTCGATGCTCATCGCGAGACGTAAAATCTAAAAACGTATCTTTCTATAGAGACAAATCAATAAGCTGATTAGATATATTTTACCTTAAAATATGATAGTTTCATAACATCGTTAGATTATTTTACATATTTAATACTTAGATTATTTTAATTTGTGAGAACTCTTTTTGGATTTTTCATTTTGTCAATTATGGATAGGATTCCGATTTACAACTACAATTTATCTGATTCTGATAAATATGGGTATTTATGTCCATATAATCTTCGCATCTATATTCAGATCAGTCTGATTTAAAAAAAAAAACGTCTGCCGTAAAGCATCGTGTGAGTTTCTTTTGAGTAGATTAAAAATTACTGGTTGAAATTTAATTTATTCCCGACAGTTGGCAAACGGTTATTCTGCGTATCGCTGTTAACTGCTTGTGACTGTTTTGCAGAGTAAATTCGCAGCCATATGTGCTACCACATATCCATGAATAATTATGCGCAAGAATCGCCGTCGCGTTATTGCAAGTGTGAATACCTGTTCGCGAGTTTCTGCATAACTTTATGATGTAACCAGAGTCGCATGCGTAAATTATCATGCGCTACTTCCTAATGAGTTAAAAATGCGGGAGCTTTCAAATATCATGCTGCGCAGGCATCATTTTCACGCAGGAAAATTCGTGTATGCCATTTAATCCTTCCACCGTATATACCCAAAAGATGCAATAGAATTCATACCTACCTCTCGCCGCAGAGATGCGTGTTGCGAAATGTTCTGGGCGTCTCGTGTGTATATGGATATCGCGAACCATGCGACACGGGAACACGAGACCGATGCCCCTCAAAACTCGATCGCGGATGCAATTTGTTTCGATTACCAAATTTCACGAAATAAAAAAAAAAGAAATAAAACAATTCTCAGTTGCCTCGTGTCCCCGTAATTATCGGCGTTGGAATTTCACGGTGACCGCTCGTAATGCGACTCTAGAATGTCATCGGGTTGCACAATGTACGCAATTTGATACCCATAATAGCAAAAAATTTATCGCGACATTTCTTGTTAAATAATTTAACGAGTCAAATGAGTTTCTTGGCAAACGTAAAGGCTATGCGCAGATGTGCGGCCACATTATTCCAATGCCGACTGATTTACATGTTTCGCGCTGAGTGTGCCGTTGCGCAGTTGATTGGAGTAAATAGTGATAATTCGTACTCATGTTGTAACAATTTTGTTCGTCCCTTCCACCGATACAGTCCGTATATCCGTCACAGCGCCGTGATAAGGGCACGCAATAACCAGGCGCGCATTCGAATTGGTCTTCCTTGCAGGCTGTAAGAATTGCACTCAGGCTAATCTGGGAAGATTTATGTCGCCGAGAACGGCACGATGACTCAACTGATGCAGGTCAATTTGAGAGATGACACGTACAAACACAGTTGAGAGAATAACGCTGACGAAGATTAGGCATACATTGCTGAATGAACGTAACACTGAGATACAATGATGTAGGAAGCACACAATGACCGTCGGTAACGAATAACAATTTTGTCGACGAATAACTTAAGCTGCATTCCGAGGTAATGTTCAAGAATAATGTTTAAGAAAAGAACAGATTTACATTAGGTTCACTTGTACATAAGTGAATAGGAAGCAAGTAAGCAACGCAAAGTTTAGGTCTGTTTTGCTTAACTACATTCGTCTCTTATATTTTCTAAATTCTTTGAAGTGGAATCTCATTCTACAGAGTGAGAATAAATTTTGCTATTTTTGAAAAAGAATTTTCAATCTTTTTAAGAGTGAGATTTCACTCTGAGAATTTTATTCTAAAAAAATTAAGAGAGATTATAATGTCATTTTCCGCCAATTTTCTAAAGTTTAAAATCATATTACTGCTTCACGAAATATTAAACATACAGAAAGTGTAGTTAAAAAAGACAGACCCCGAGACGCCAAAGTAATCCGAACTGAAGAATACAAAACAACAATTTTAATATGGGATCGCGTGATGATATAAGATAGGATGGAAAGAGTTTCTTAAGATGAACTAATTAGTGGCCGAGCGAAACGCGTTAAGCACGCCCACTGACTAGGCCATTAATTAGCACGTATTTGAGGAAATTTCACGGAAGAGATTATAAATGAACGAAGAGTTACGTCAATCGTCATACTCCTTCCTGCCGTACTCTAATTTACAGCGGCAATTAGTTAACGATGGAAGAACATGAAAGAACCTGCTTGCCCGCGAAAGGACACTGCGTGACGACCAACAGTTACCTTTACATTTAACCGCGTCGACGACTATTATTGCACGAATACACGCAGAGACGAAATATGCACGTGGACAGACATAAGTCACGCGAATTCGCAAGGGATAGCGCGATTGAAGCGTAGTGGAAAGTTCTTTACGAGCGAAAGCAACAGAAATAAAAGTCCCAACACTTTCCTGGTAAACGCTAAGTTATCGTCCACATAAAGCTTAAGAAGAAAGAAAAGAGAAGAGTGGTGTTACATCTCACGTAATGATATTTCGCACACTCGTGCTCAAATTTGATCTCTTCTATCCAAATATTCATCGCGATCATCACGCTGAAGTATTCTGGCCGCGTAGAAAAATTAATCGGCTACTACAAAAAAAAAAAACTAAAGCGACGGAAACCAGGACCGAAAAATTACGGAAAAATAAAATGGCACTTTATCAAATGTTCAAACCGCAATGCGAAATAAATAATTCACATTTCATCCCATTCAGTGAAGCGGCGACATAGGATTACAGAAGTTTCAGTTATACTCGTTTAATTGTCATTGAATAGAGTGAGAGTTATCAATTATCAAAAATTTATTTGTTGTCAATTTTTCACGAGTTGATAACGATTAATATAACTGATTGCGAGATCAGTCAAGCGCACTACTGTAATGTAAAGTCTGAACAGAATCTGTTCAGAAAATCTATTTTTTTTTTCATTTCAATTTGTCACAAAGAGAGAAAGAACGGACTTAAATCATCGAGATGATGCGGAAACGAGCATGAGACAGCACGCAGTCGTGAGTCGCTTAAGAAAGCGATGGGAGATGTTGCAATTTCTGAGATCATCTTAAGTTCAAGGCCTGCCCCGAAGCCTCACCCATTTGACGATTGAATTGCAAACGAGCCGCGAGTTCAATAATCCGCTCACGAGGCGATTCGTTCGCGCTTCAGAGTTAGTTTAGAAATGATCTCTCGGACGTGCTCGAGAAATTAACGATTTAACTGCTGAATCAGATAAATCATAAAACCAAAATAATCTTGAATTATTCGAGATATGATATAGTGTAAATTTTCTTTGCGTGGCGATAAATATATGACAATAACTGCGTTTAGCAAAAGAAGCAGTTTCCCAACTATTGTAAGATTCTTTAATATGATTGATTTATATGTTTAGATCTAATGGAGGAGCTAAGAATCAATCATATTAAAGAATTTAAGTTTAAACTTCGACATGGCAAGTTCATTTCTATATATATTTCATCACGTTATTATTTTTCAATCTTACTTGATGTATGATCACTTTCTGTTACACTTTGGCTATAATTTTTGTTTTCTTACTGGTCTTACGATTTATATTGTATATTATTATTATTATTGTTATTATACATAAATTGACCTTAAATTGCGCTTTGAAAGTATGTTCATCGGTTACCTAGAAGGTTAGCCAAAATGCGTACTCTCTAAAATTTTTGGAGTGGAAGCTCATTCTGAAGAGTGAAATCTCACTCTTAAAGATTAAAAATTAAACCACTTCTTTTCAAGACTGATTCAATTTTCATTCTTTAAAGATTTCACTCCAAAGAATTTAAAGAGTGTGTTATCTTTGTATCGTATTGTATTTTTAATAGATATATGTTTGATTCGGATAAAATGCTTTTTATAATTAATTAATCGCACAAGCACTTAAAGCGTTAATTTCCATTAGCCTATTTTATTTCTTAATATATTTAGAATATTAAAGAATCTTAGCAATTGCAATTGCTTTTTCGGTTGAACGCAGCCAGTGATGTCTTCTAACGAATTTTGTTGAGGCCATTAAAACTTTCAGATTCGTCAAAATAAGCCATCGCGAAAATATCACTCACTGGCGTAACGTAACGTCGTCGACGAACAGCGAGAAACAAACATAATCTCGTGCCGTGGATTTACAAGGGATGATGACTCTCGCCATATAGCTTGACACGATTCCGCGGCGTAACCGATTTTCGCAGAACGGTGGAGAAGTTCGGCGGACGTGCGACGCTCTTGTCACGAATCAAAATTGGATTAAAGCGGTGAAAATGCGAAATTCCGGGACAGAGCCATGATGGAAGGGCCTGGCGCGATGTTCGGCTGACGGCCCATGGGAGATTAACGTCGGATTAAAATTGCGGCCGGTTATTAGGGCGGATTAATAAACGCGAGTAAATCTCGTTCGACAGGGGGCCATCCCAGATTTGCCGGGGGACGAGGGGTGTTCCATGTCTGATCTTTTTTTTCTCTCCTTTTAATCGTCTTCCGCGCTTCTATGCTAATGCATGATTTATGCAGCCGCTGATGAGATGTGCAGTAAAGTTATACGAGAAGATGAATAAGAAATCAACAGTCAATTCTTCATTGATACATTCGTACGTCACAATTGTCACTATCATGATGTTAGCATTTACAAATGAATGCGTAAGCTTCGTAAAATCACATAAACATGACATGCGTCATCAAACGCGTTGTTTCTCATTATAGTTATTTCCGTTAATGGATTGTTGCCGCATAAAATCACAATTTGCAGTATGTTTATGAACTGTGAAATAATTCGAACTGGTTATCTGTCGTGTTTCGACAATGTTTCTTACATTACGACATAAAGACTGTATATCACGATGCTTCCTTTAATCGTTTCTTTAATCAAATTTCAAGATGATTTATATACTTAATAAAAATTAAAAAGCACATAATAATTATGCTGATTTAATTTTTGGCATTGTACTTCTACATAGAAAAATATATTATTCTTCTATTCTATATATTATTCTTCTAATAAAAGTGAGTGATTACTCAGTTAATTTTTTTCTTTTAAGGAACGATTGTTATTAACAAAGAATATTTTCTTGATAATAGTTTTAAAATGTATTTATTACAAATTTTAAAAAGAGAAGAGAAAGTGAAACTCTTATTATATGTATTCAAAACAAGAAATTATTTTTTTTTATTAAGAATATTATAAAATTTCGTTGTAGAAAATTATTTACATAACAAGTAAATTGATTTAATTTAATTTAATTTTATAACCTCTCTCTCTCTCTCTCTCTCTCTCTCTCTCTCTCTCTCTCTCTTGTTGAAATATTAAATTTATTAGAATTCAGAATATATTTTAAACTTGGACGTTTAAGATAAACTTATGATATATTTAAGGATATATAAATCTATGAAATACTTAAAACAAATAATACTATCTGCATATAGTATGCATTTTTCTGTGTGTAGCAAAGCAAGTATTCCCGCTCGAATTCCGACCTATCGATCGTAAAATGTTTTCAATTTTTTTTTAAATTATGCCTTTTAACGATTGAGAATAAGTTAGCGATGTGCACGCGGTCGTACACGGACGGACCGACCACGAAGCATGCCTCTGCAAAAGATGACAGAAATAATAATAAGCTGAGGTTGAAAAGAGTAGCGAGAGAGGGGGTTGGCAGACAGGGTTGAACGAAGAGAGAAAACGGATGTCGATGCAGTATACGGGTGCAACGGCCTTAAACACGAGGCCGAAGAACGCCATCGTCACAACCACTGCCGCCCACTACGACTCCCATATTCTTTTTTTTTTCTTTTTCTGAGCATGCTATTGTTATTGTCACAGTTATTATAATTATTGAGTTCATCGTAATATGCCGGGATCAGCCCGCGACCATTAATTTCCGGCGCAGTCGCATGCAAATCTGTTTGCGGTGCTCGCTAGCGATAAATAATGTCGGTACATGCAAGGGCGTCGCAGTATCATTTATGACTCCGCGTGAAGATACGTTTATCAGCACGCACAAGTTTTATAGATTCGTACGTGCGAGAATGATCTTATTACAAAACTTATTTCCGCTCACGCAATTAGCGTGAAATATCTCCATATTAGCGTTATAAGAAGCGCCTTCTGATTTTTTTTACAATAAGCCATTAATTCGGATATACAATATATTGTTAGAAATGTTCTTAAATTTCATTAAATTTTAAGTTACATAATTTAAACTTAATTTCATGACATTATATTAAATTTAATGTATTTATAACTAAAAGTATATTTGTGTACATATAAAATTTAATGTATTTTTCATGAAAATTTGTGAAATTTAATGTACACGTATTAATACATTTAAGTAATTACTGTAACTTAATTTTCAATTAAATTATTCATTACTTTTAATTTCATTCATTCAACGAGCTTCATTTACGTAAAGAAAGCTTGTGGTTACATTTCTAAGTATAGGTTTTTAAGCCTTAAATCATAAAAAAATGGACGAATCATAGTCAATTATTCTCCTCGTATTCGACTGTAATTGATCAATTTCTTAAGGTTCAAGGCTTAAAGCACTTATTGTAGATCCGGACTTACATAAGTTTTAAGTTTCAAGCCATAAAAAAATTGACCAGTCACAATCGAATGTGAGAAGAATAATCGACTGTGATTGGTTTCTTACGATTTAAGACTTAAACTTAGGTAATGGCTTCTTGTAGAAAGCCTATTCATGTTAATCGAGTTCTATTTTTTTTTTAAATAAAAATACGATAATTATGAGTTTGAAATATAAAAATAATAGATCTCTTGAAAATGCATAAAAATGGTGTGCTGAATTATTAATGACAATTTGCGCGACTTATATTAAGAAGGTTTAACCGTTTGAAAATGAAAGGGCTTATTACTAGTGGAATAATCCACATTTTTTTATAAAAATGTAAGGTAATCCATTCCCATACAGCACATTTTATCCGAGAAACATCTTGGGAATCATTCTTAAGATGTTCAGAAGACATTCCCTGAAGATCTTACTATATCGATTATTTCCTAATTTTTAATTTTAGAGTTAATTTTCTCTGTTTGTATAAAATATGGATTAACCCACTGTTGTAGTAAGCCTTTTAATTATAGATGTTGTTTGTAAGGACGCACAAGAGTGCAATATTACTTCAAAATTAACTAACATAGTTATCAGTACATTAAAGGCCGTGATACACAAAAAAATGTAAAATGTAAGGCGAATCAGCCAATCACAATAAAAATGTAAAAATAATGATGTAAGCAAAAAATTTTTTGCTTATACACATATATTGCTTATGTCTTACTGTTTACATTTTTTTGTGTGCCATAATATAACCTTATTAAAAAATTATTAAAAGACGAAGACAAATTTTGAAGCGGCTGATCGCAGCGCAGCAATGCGCGATACCACACCGTTATAAGTCCAAACTGCATGCGCATGCAAATAACTGTGATGAGTGCAGGCGATCATCTTTCAGATGTGAAAATGATACTTACGGCAATTGTGTTCATCGGATTCATCGTGGCAATCTTGCACGCCATCACAGAATTTGTTACTGTCGATACATTGCCCGTTTCTGCATATGAACTCAGTCGAAGAACAAGCTGTATACAGAAAGAAATCGAATGTTAGGTACAAAAGTTATTATCATTATTGTTAAAATTAAAATTACAACATTTTAGTCAATTTCTAAAAATATACTCGATATAATTGTAATTATGATGCATTAGAATATAATGCACTGAACATTAGTTAGACGATAGAGAGGTATTTGATTCTTTGATCTCAAATTCAGGCGTATTTTCCGATAATCATTCGATCCTTCTTAGCCATCAAACGTTAGATTTGATTTTTTTCCAAAACAAGAAGATATTCAGTCTCAGGTTGATATTGCATGTAAGCGAGTTACGTTAGCTTAGAGCCGTGAAAAGAGACTCGCGCTCTTGAGTGAGATTCACTGAATTGATCTTACCTTGCCTGACAACACACGAATAAACCAATAATGGGAGTCGTTTGTTTAATATAAATTCTGAGAAGATCGTACGTAGCGGCGGATAACATTTCAAAGGTGAAGCAGTGGCCGTAAGAGACAAGGATAAGGTTGCAAGATAAGAGGTTGTAGATCAGATAGCGCTTTGCTGCATAGACGCGTCACATTTTTCTTCTTAACATGCGTCGTTTTCAATATCATGAATCATGAGTTTCATGATTTTTACAAGATCGCGAGGAAACAATAAACAATTCGATCTCTCACCGATTAGACGGATTTATTCGGCCAGATGGAAAATTTTTGAATTGTTAGGTGCATAAATAAGTTCCCATGATTATTTTAAATAAATCAAACTAAATATTATGCCTATGAGATCCAAACACAGGGTGTTCACGTGTAAAGAACTTATTCAATTAGTATATAATGAGATAATAGACGTTTCGATCTTATTGCGGATTTTCTTTTCAATATCTTAATAATTTCTTTTCAATATAATAAAATTAAACATTGATAAATCATACAATTACAATTACTCTTAAAGCGCAGTTTGTAATTGTATGATTTATTAATGTTTAAATTTATTATTTTGAATATTATATTAAGATATTGAAAAGGATGTGTTTTTTTACCTCAATAGGTATAATATTGGGTTGATTTATTTTTTGAAACCTGTCAATTTGTTTTTATTGCAATTTCAGATAGTATTATAACAACAGTGTATTTAAATTTTCGCGCCCAACTTTTTCATTAGTAAGATTGATCTAGTTTCAAAAGTTACGTAACAATCCGCAGTTAAACATTTAACTACACTGAGAAAAAATTGTTTATTTGATTAAATTAATTTAGATCGTTTATATGTATGTATGTGTATATTTTTTATGAAGTATATATGTATTTAAAAGTCAAATATATTATATTTGATTTAAATACATACATTCTCCAACAAAAAATGTATAGGAAAGATGAATTAAATTAATATAGTCAAATGAACAATTTTTTTTCTTCGTGTTTATTTTAGTTTAATTAAATAAAAAAGTGCATATATTCGCCATTACCTTCACTATTTTCATTGCGGTAAAACCACCACTGAAACAACTAAAATAATTTGAAACTTAGACAATACTGTATCGGAAAGAGCGTGTCAAGATTGATTAAAAAAATGAATATGATTTTAAAATATGATAAATCGCGCTACGAAGTATTCTTTTGTCATGACATCTGTAATACATAAACAATATAATATTTGTATAATATCTACATATCTCCGAAGGATGACATATACAAAAAGTAATAAATTCGAAAAGCAAATACACATTTTGATTGAAATGTTTGTATCTTTAGTATTAACAGATATATTTTTGAAAAAAGTCGTGGAAATTACATATCTAATATTTACAGAGTCAAAAACAATAACAGTTTAGGAAATAGATTATTCTTTTATAAGATAATTATTGAACAAAATTTTATACAAATTACTTCAATTCTGGACGTTTAATTTTAATAGATATTGTTTTCAATTGTTTACTAGAATTTCATTCTTTTCCACTTCGACTCTTCTCGTATCGCACAAAGTCAATTGTTAATTGTCTCTGAATGATACACAGCCGGACCGCAAACAGCGGACGCAATTTTTTTGTTAGTCGCTCGTCCGGGCTCGTTCAATGATCGAGTCCCCTCGGGTTTCGAAATCAGGAGCGTGCAATCGTTCGCCGGCTATCCTATTTCAAATAAACATTCGCCCGCTCGCAAGTTCGACTCCAATTTCATAGGCCGGACGCGTGCTCGTCCGTTTCCACTTACTGATCATGACCGCGTTTGCCGCTCGAGCCGCGAATGCGGGCAACCCATTTTCACATTTGCCCTATCGACTAATGCGAAGAGACACTCGTGCGACTGAAAAAGTGACTTGATAAGTACCAAACACAAAGAGTAGGAAAAAGAAATATGATGCTGGGCTTCAACTAATAAAACTAAAGTCGATGCTTCGTCAAGCTAAATAAAACACAATTTTACATGGCAAGAGAAAAATTGTTTATGTATTATATGTATATAAAATAAAGTAAATAAAATATATATGCATATACATACATTTATTTATTTATTTTATTTATATAAATACAAGCAGTAGAGAGAGTGAGAGAGAGAGAGAGAGAGAGAGAGAGAGAGAGACATAAAAACCAAAACTTTATTACAATTTCAATTCTCGAAAAATTATATTGAATATTATGAAAATAAAAAAAAATATATACATATGAACCAACCGAGTTATGCTATGTTTTTCCAAAATTTGTAACAAACATTTATGTTTTTACTAAACTGAAGTTTACAATAAGCTTTTGCATATGCGCGCGGAAATAATACGTAAATGTGCATTGCAACTGAATGAAAATTGATGAAACTTTAAACGGGTGTATTAAAAAGTGTCCATTTAATTGCTTAATTTGGAGAATCTTATAAGTTATGTACGTAATTAAATACACGTAAAACGATGCGTGAAAAGAGGATCTAAGAGCTTTTGGGAAGTGCAGCCTTTGAAAGTTACGGAGAAAAAAGGGGTAAATCGCGCGAAAGCATGCCATTTTGTCTCAAGTGTCTCGGCGGCGAGGCCACAATATTGCATTTGCCGCTCGAATTGCGCGACTCTCGATGGAAGAAGGCAGCAGCTGGGAGAGAGGAAGGAGAGAGAGGCGGTGACGGGTTGCGCACGGGGGTTGATCACGTTGTGTAACAGCGACCGGGTATGCTTTGATACAGGAAACTGTCATTCGATGGTAGTGCTCGACGCTGAATCGCGATAACGCAACGGCGCGATGCAGGCGCGACAGGAATGCCCCTTAAAGCGTTCTCTACTCGGGCGCATTACGCGCGTCTCAGGGCGGGCTTGTGCCAACGTGCAGGTATCTCACGTTACTCAGGTGGCCACCGAGTAGTAGAGGCTGCTACGTTGAAATTCGCACCGCGAGCGGAGCGTGACTGCGCGCAATGCAAATCAAACCGCTCAAGCTTGTTCATTAAACAGACCAGCGCGCGCTCTGTCTCTTCTCTGTTCGGTGGATAGACGAACCGTAAGTCAATAGGATCCTAAACTCAAGGGTCGGTTACTTCGCGATGTGCTTCATGATTCGCGTTTGTATTCACAAGTTTTTCGTATAAATGTTTCGACTTACTCGCGAAGCTCTTAAACCCTAAAATGATCACGATTGATTACAGAATTCGACAATTCTGTGAGATTAATTATTATAATGAGATTAATTAAATAAGATTAATTTGTAATTTATATAAAACATGTATTTTATTAAAAATATAACTCTCTTGATTATAATATATTTATATAAATATTTTCCTGCTTCTTTAATCTTAGTATTTCCTAATTTTAGATAAAACAATTTTTAGATAAAAATAATATTATTTTGTATGCGTACCTCTTTAAATATTAATTTTGTACCTTTATATTTAACACTTCGTTCTTTCTTATATACTTCAAAACCTATAACGACGAAATTTTTATGAGCTGTTACTATATTTCAAAAATACTCCTATACATATAGTAAAATGTATTCCTTAAAAAGAAACAGATATTATATTAATATCAAAAATCGTAATTTTGATTTTTATAATCTTTGTAATATTACTGCGGAAAAAATTAGAACTTTTGAACTTAAACACATCATATCTTGATTCATGTATATGCAATATTCATCGCGAAATGAAAATAACCGCAATATGACGACGAGAAATCTATAGTTCAACTGTTCATGGTACCGAAAATAAAATCATGTTCTTTAAATATTTAATGTTTGTGATATCACAGAGATATTGACAATGTTGAGCAATGTATTAGCAGCGTAACATCGGAAATATAGCGTGTCCCATAGGTATATACATCTGATAAATCGTGAAGCGATTTGGATCGAGGAAAACATTATTAATTCAGAATGTACCGCTTTTACTCGAACATCCTTTATACACTGCATTTAATTGCTCTAATCGTAAAAAATTAATAAATACGTTTTACTGACGACGTATAAAGCCACAATCTCTCTCGACGTTATTTGAACAAATTGGCTGTGACTAATAGATGTTTATTTAAAACATATTCACCAACAAATTTGTATCCATGGGTATGTATACAATACATATGAGAGAACAAATAATATCTCGTTTTAATAAAACCATAAACGTAATATACCAAAGAGTAGTAGCGCAACCCGTTTGGCGCATTAATTTACATTCTGCTATTTCAAAGTGCACGCCCGCAATCAGCTCGCTGCTTTTCGCGAGCTTCGAGGCTTCGTTAAAAGCTGCACGAGCTGTTGCACGCGATATTAATGTCGTCGTTACGATATGTCTAAAAACTGGATGGTCGTGACAAAAAGAAAAGGTACGGTCCGCGGTGCGCCTCATGCCGCTACTCCCGACGAAGAAGCAGAGTCTGACAGGCAAAGTACACGAGCCAAGTTCCCGCTGCCTTGTGAATTTAAGGAGGGTAAAGCAATTAAGTCGATAGAACGCTCGCCACATTTGCGAGATTGCTGGATTACGCGACGTTCCGTGCATGGGAAGGAATATATTCTATCTTTCAGCGAAAGCATTCGAGAATTAACCACCGGAAAT